GAGTGATTTTGGTTGGAGGAGTATGCCTCCCTTCTGTAGATGTCGGGTGCCTTCAGGGAACACTTGAGCTTGAGGTTTGTAGTGGCGGATGAAGTTAGCCGTGTCCCGTGGCGAGAAGTCGAGTGGTAGTCCGTCGATGATTAACAGAGGTGTAGGGTACGAGACAGACTGCATACTGGCATGTTTCAGGGTCGATATCTAGTGAGAGAATGATTGATCGTGGTTTTTGGCTTCCACACGTTGCCGTTCTTTTATCTTCCCACTTTCTTTGAGAAGAATACATACTTTTTCTCTTACAGAACTCCTTTTTCATGTTATAGGATCCAACCAGTTGAATGATGTTGTCTCCCAAGGTATTCTTACCAAAATCCATATAAAAGCAAGACAATGGAAAGTACTTATACCATTTGCCATGGGTCTATTTGTAAGATTGGGTGTTCTGCAAAAACACTTAAGGCATCCTCATGGTATATATTGGTATATATCTGTGTATTTACTCAACTGTTCAATCCAGTCCACACATATTCCATGGAATATCATGGAAAAAGCCAGCACCAGGGAGGTATTCTGCTCACTTTTCCGGCTTGATTTTGCTGGCTTTTAAAAATAGGGTTTTGCAGTCACCCATTCCACTGTCTCCAGTAAAATACCTTTCCAGCTAAAGGTCTGATGGGGATCTAGGCACTTTCTCCAGGTTTCCCCCAGTGCAAATTCTCCTCTCCCCATTTGCTGAGTGGAGTATGGGAGACTCTTGCCACTTACAAATTTGTAGTTGCTGGGTTGGTGGGCCATGGAAAATCCTCACCAGTTGGACTCAACAACTAGGGCTATACAAAGGAGTACGAATATAGTTAAGAGTTGGACAGTAGTGTCAGTGTTGTGCATGTCACCTCTTTTATACATAACTATGCCACTTGTGTCCTCTTCCTGCAGCCTGAGGATGTTCATTAAAGCTGAAGTGAGCATACACTATGATGCTGTGCCCTTCTCCTGCAGCATGTATCTGTTTAGTAGAGTCAAGGCATGAACACTATATCTATTGTGCCTATCTCCTACAGTTGGAGTCTCTCCCGTAGAGTTTGACAGTAGAGTTGAAGGGAGCACACGAGGTATGGACTGAATGAATCCCAACCACACTCAAATTGACTCTCTGATTGCTTGGTTGCAAATGTTGAGATGGCCATGATCTCATTCTGGCTGTGCAACACATGAGGCTCATTTACTTTTTTCTCCCTTTCTTTTCCAGACAAAGAGTATACCTTGGCTGAAACGAGATGCAGTCTCCCATTGGAACCCCTGTCATTGGGTGTCACAATCCATGAATATCCTTTGGGCACTTCTGAAGGGAACTCATCTAGGTATAATTTGCACCAACTCCTCCACCACTTTAACATGGTATTCTAGCTAAACTGTGTTAAGAGGTGAGTTATCATCTCAAAAGTTAACATTTTCCTTACCTGAAAATGTATTTCTGATAGATACTCACTTGTGTACACATTTCCTCACTTTTATCTTACTTGCCTCATCACAGATGAAGTTACTCAGAGTGAAAGTGCATAGAGGGAGTTATTGTGCATGGAGGATTGTCATCCTCCTATTGATACAGGGCTTTTTTTGCATGATAACATCATCAAGAAGCAGTGCAATTCATGTTAAATTATGTGAAATTAGGAGTTGCCTCAAGGCTAATGGCATGCAGACCTCTAGTAGATGCATGAATAAGTTAAACTGTGTGTGGAGGTATTTATCATAAATACATTTTCAGGTAAGGAAAAATGTTAACTTTGAGTCCCCCAACATCAGAGTCTACTCATTCTTCATCAGCTGTTAAAGTAATTGTTGTTCTGAGAGAAGTTGCAAAACAGATACTGAAATTCTTGATTCATTCATTAATAAGTCAGGTTTTAGAATTATAAAATTACGTTGAAAATATAAAGAACTAAATTTAAAATGTAACATTTTACTGTGAGTCAGTAAAAAGAAAACAAAAACATGCATTTAAGTTTGTGACCAGTATTACCTCTGTTTTTTACTCTTTTACATTTAGATAAAACTTTGTCAACAAAACTGCAACTCAACTATTAACCATTTCTTTTCATTTGAAGTGGGACTCTCAAGATTTAACAGAATAATTTATTTGTGTATTCTTTGGTACTTGTCAATCAGTTGTGTTTAGTTTTCTACATACAGCAGAACTAAACTAACAAAATTGAATATCAGTGATGAACTTCTCCTTGGATAATTTTTGCCCTTTAACTGGACACGGAGTATAATCATGGTTGCATTTATTGCCATTAGGATGATTTAAAACTTCACAATAGTGCAAAATATCTTAAAACATTGATGGTGTGGACATATACTGCATCTCGGCATATGTGGTTGCCACATTTTACAATAATTTACAGAACTCTACAATACAAACCAATCAACAATAAACACCTATATCCAATATCATGGCTGTTGAATTACAACATAATTTAGGCTTTGATAGGATGATTACACAAAACATAAGTAGTAACCATGTAAGTTATTACTAACATAAGTTATTTGTGTGTGTAATGATACATGTCATGTAATGATAATGTCAACAGACATGTTTATCTTAAGGAAGAAATAATGCTAAGTTAGTTCTGTACAAGCTTAATCATTTTAGGTTTAATAAAAATACTTTTTCATACAATATGTATTCACACACAAATTATATATTTTTTAATGCTAAGTATACTGCTACATAAGGTTTATACATTTCAGCAGCTGACACAGAGAGTTATTTGGAATCAAGGTACCCTAAGAAAAGGATCCTGTTCATTTCTCAAGATAGAGTGTTGGATGTACCATTGTTGGTGAGTATCCAAGATATTACAACCCATCTGCTCGTATCCAAATTAGAGTTTGGTAATTAGCTCAATATATCAATACAAGGAATTGTTCAGAAGCTCATTGCCCACTTCTCTGCACATTGAACAACTATTACCTCACATGCTGCTGTGAAGAATGTTAAGCATGCCACAAGTGAAGTTCCCACCCCTACCCATGTTAATGTGTATTAGCTGCAACCTACAAAACGTATGCAGTAGTTTTCATGCCCTTCACTTGAATTTTCCTTATTCTATCATTTTCACATATGCCATTTAACCCTTTCACGATGGCTGAGTTTAAAATACACAAATTTGTATAGACAGAAGTAGGTGTACATAATAAGTTTCCAAAAATGGAAAGAGGTGGGCATAGCCACAGTGTTTGAGTCAGTAAACGTAGTGATATCTCAGCAAATAGAAAAATAGAAGGTTCTTATTTTATATTCTAGTCTGTAAATATAGGTAATTTGAGTTCCTACTTCATAAGAAACTATAAACTCTGTATTTGGACATCACAAACATCTAATTTGAACCAATGCTGCATTCAACATCCCACGTGACTCACAAAAATCAATATTTAGGTGGTTTTTTTTAATATTTACTTTTAAGTTAAAAAATTAACTAATGTATAAAACTAAAATTTTGAATTATAATCTTCATTTTGATACAAAACTTATTGAATTAATTCATAAAATAGTAGTTAAATATAATTTTGAATGTGAGTCAACAAATGCAATAACATGGCCTTTGACCCATGTCAATAGGGTTAAGCTACACTTTCTTGCAAGCATTACGTGTTAGATCGATAAATCCTGGTTTGTTTTAAAAAAATTTATGCAGTCAGACAAACAAACTCGTGTAGATGTAACTTTATTTAATAAAACTACATGTAAAGTAAACAATAAAGTAATGGTATTTATAATAGTGTACCGAATATGAAACGGTTATGATCATTTAGTGTATGACATTGTTTTATGAGTGGAAATCAGAAATGAAGAACAAAACCTGTAGTAAAGAAAAAAGTAGCTAAAAGGTGTTTACAGCAGTTTATGAAATGTACAGAAGCTGAAGTATTGCAAAGTAAAGTAAATTTAAAGTTGTAATTAAGGCAAACTTAGCTGAATATGCAGAAACATCTGAATGTGTGTTTACAAAGTGATAAGCATATGGTTTTGAACGAACTGCACATGCATATTTTAGACCTATATAAGTTGAAAAAGCTCAAAGAAACTGTATTTAGTGTAATGTTCATTTTTTTACAATAACAAATACAAAAACTAAAATTGAAATCAAAGCCAGTTGTTGTATAATGACAATGATATTGTGCCATTGTGTACCTTACTTTTTTTGCATTGAAAAGTTTGACTAAGCCAAAGATAGATAAGGTGATTCTGAATTGAAAAGCTAATATGCAATCTGGACTCCTCATAAAAAGAAGTTTGTGAGAAAAGTTCCAGACATACAAATTCAAGCATCTTATTTATCTAAGTTGAACAAGTCTGTAATGTAATTCTCATTAAGCTATAGCCTCCTACCAATAGGAGAGTGACACATTTTTATGTGCAGTAATCTCCCGAAGCTCTAGCATTTGAATAAAGGTTCATTCCTTTCTTGGCACTGTTTGTCTTCAAATGTGTTTCATGGTGTCTTTTTTGGGGGGGGGGGGTGACTTTGGGCTTTTACTTTCCATCCACCTTTATTGTCTCACTCATCTTGTTTGTGCTAGTGCTTTTATTGTCATTTCTATTCATAAAAAAACAATTTTGAGGATAATTTTTTATTGTGAATTCCCAGATCCATATTTTTGTAACATCAAATGGTTTGGACACTCCAGGAATCTACTTCTGCAGTTTCAATTGCAATTGGAGGTATTGATGGTCAATTATGTTACTGCCATTGTGCACCAGGTTGGTTCTCTGATGCTTTCATCTCAGTTTAGGTTCCTTGTCCTTCTGTCTTTGTTGCTTTTGCAGAACCTGTTTTGATGATTTTGACAAGCTGTTCTAACTGACTGTCTCTTCTTATGTTTCTCCTCTTCTTGATGAGAACAGGTAACCCCACTTTCATCATCTATTGCCTTGATTACACATAGTTGTGACATCCTTTCTCTTTCTCCAGTTGTTCTTGATGATTCTTGGGTTGCATTGCTCCATGACCCTTCTCCTTCTGGTTATCCTTTTTGCCCCCTTCCCCTGATATTCTTCTTCATGCTGGTACTTTTCTGTCTCAGCTTTGTGCTGACCCATTAGAGCCTCACCCTTCTTACTTTCATGACATTTGTTTTTATGGCTTATAGTCATGATCCATCTACTTTTCTCTCAAGATTTAACTCACCAAATCTCTCCTTCACATTCGGGGTTACCCTTTTCTTCTAGCTTTGCCTCTTTCTCGTCCTTAACCTGGTCATCTTCATATTGCTCTTTTTTCAGTTCCTTTGCTATTTGTCTTCATTTCACCTTCTCTCAAAGGCTGTTCATCATGACCTTCGACAGCTTAGTTAGGGATACTTATTCTTACTTGTTTGCCACCTTGGTCTCCATTGATTTCACTGCTGTATCCCAGTTGACTTGGTTTCTGAGTTGTGCTGTCAGACTGCCTTACTTTTGAGTTAACCATAGTACTGTATGTTCTCAATTGGTAGTGAAAGCATTTACATGGAGGATGCACTCATTAGGTCTCCACTTCATTAACTATATGGATGATTGGCTCAAGAAGCTTCTATAGTGATGCCCTCCCTCCTCCTTGGGATTTCTCATTCGGGTTGGTTGTTCAAATGTTCCAAGTTTGTCTTCACCCCACTTCACCTTGGTATCTTTTACAATTCATGTGGGGGTGTGTTTAGCATTCTCCTTTACATACTTGCACCATAGAGCTTCTGGATTCCAAAGCTTTCATGTCACTTACTCTTCCTGTGCAAAAGGTTTTCTCACTTTGGAGAATCTGGCTTTTCTTGGGTTCCTTGCCTTGTTCCTCTTAGATGTGTCCACATGCAACCCCTTCAGTGGACTTTATCCAATCAGTTGGAATATTCCAGAGGTTCTCTATCAACTCTTGTGACACTTCCTCCATCTGTTCATTGCTTGCTGTTTTGGTGGCTTGATCATTCTAACATGACACTTACTGTTCCTTTTCACCCTCCTTGTCCAGACCTCCATCTTTTCACCAATTCATCTTTTTCTGGTTGGGAGCTATCTAGACACCTACATCCTTTTGGCAGTTTTGTCTCCAGAGGAGTGGCCCTTTCATATCAATATTGTAGAGCTTTTGGCATTTTAACATGTATGCCATCTGGATAATTCCATGGTCATATCTCACATCAACCAAAAGGGAGGCACTCGATCTTGGAATCTCTGTTTTCTCACTCTGGAAGTTCTTTTCTGGGGCTTTGAACCTAATGGTAGATCATTTGTCTCACTTGGGCCAGATCCTTCCCATGCCATGGTTTCTCAATGCACAAGTGTTTTGATGGATTCCCACTTTTAGAGTCCTCTCGTATATACTTTTGTGACTTCTCTTCACATCAAACTTCCTCTTTTCTGGTTGCCAGTCCCAGATTCTGCTGCTCTGGCAGTTGGATGCTTTTATCCAGGATTGGACCAACCTCTTTCTTTATATCTATCCTCCTCTTCTACTTCTTCCTATGGTCCCTTATTTGTGACACCCCGTGCTGAGTTTTTCTCATTACTCTTCCTTGGCCAGCTCAGTCATGGATTCATCTCATGTGCCACTTGACATTCAGGAATCCTTTTTTCTCCCACATTGGAAATCCCTTTTTACCTTTGCCCCAGATGTCCATCTTTCACAATGGGTTGTCATGCATTCATTGTTACTTCCCAGAGTAGCTTAATTTCTGTCTCATTCCTGCCAGTCATCCACTTTTGCACTTTATCAATGCAAATGATGTATGGTTTACTACCACTAGTCCATTTGCTCCTCCCTTCTTTCTGGTCATCCTACTCTTTTTCAATTTTCCTTTTTTTTACCCAGCTTTGTGACAGGGATTTATCCATGTCTGTGATTGCTGGTTATAGAGTGTCTTTGTCCACAGTTTTCCATCTCTTACCTAGCACTTCTCCTTTCCTCTCTTTGATTCTTACTGACCTCTTCTGTGCCTTTCTCCTTTCCCGATCCCTCTTTAGGACTGAAAATCTCTTTGTTGCTGTCTGGGCCCTCGTGTTTCCTGTTCCAACCTATGGCCATCCATTTCATGTATCATCATTTCTGTTTTTTTTTCATCTTCTGCTTTTACCAGTTGAGTGTGTTAGCTCATCCAATTTGTCTATTCTTTGGGAGAGGAAACCTGTCAACTTTATCAGATAATCTCCCATCAATTTCTCCATCTCATGACATCTGTCACCTCTCATTGATGACTTTTCCTGTATGAGATTCAGTAGACCAGAATGTGGACCATCCCTTACACATTTGTGTCCCATTAGTTACATCACATGGTGGTTTTATATGCATTGGGGTTTTGTATACCTTCTACCCAAAGACTAGTGAGGTGAGTATTGTTATTTGTTCTTGTTCTTTTTACAGCTCCTTCGTCACTGTTATTATATCTCAATGTACATCATCTGGAGGTGATGGAATCACCTGAGTGGCAGGTGTTGTCTCACAGGAAATATTTTTTTTTTCCAAAATCCACATTGAGCAGGGAAGTATAGACAGTGTTAAGCCCATCCACCACCCCTTCTTTCTGCCTGTTATTGAGTTGATGTTTTTTTTCACAAGACTGCTTCTACAGTATCTATATCTAATCAAAAACACTTTAGGTGTGAAAAAAAAGGTGTGGCCAAACTGGTAGCTACACTTGTAGTATTGATAAGGATTTTACAGCAAATATTCATTCATTTGTTAGCCAGGTTGCATTTTTTGTTTAACTTGGGGCATGATGATGGGTAAAACAAAATCTGTGGCCTAGCTAACTAAGGGTCTAAGGAATGAATATTTGCTGTAAAATCCTTATCAGGGCTATAAGTGTAACTACCAGTGTGGCTTCCAATTTTGATTTCATTCCTTTAAGTGGCACACTCAATCCTTTTCTAGCTACACCTATTTTTTCACAAACAAGGTGTTTTTGACTAGATATCATGACATTTTGTCAATACATAACAAACCACAGCAAGTAAGAAAGTAACACTCGATTAACTATTAAAGTAACACACATTAACTATAAGATTGCAACACTATTATTTAGAATAGACCTATACTTTACAGAGCTAACCAGATTCTTTAAAAATATATGATGTTAGTTTTCTCTCTAAAACAGTGTTAATAGCTTCCTTTATAGAAATGCCATATAATTGAGCTTAACAGTTTCTTGTCATCACCCCCATGCAATTGCTACAACTGTATCAAGTATCATTATTTATGCTAATTGCTTAAGCTAATATCACATGATGCTAAATGCTCTTTAATTAGGATAAGTTCATAACATTTAGTACATTTGTGCTGAAAAGTTGGCAATGAATAATCAATAATAACTGTCCACCCGTATGATTCATTTTAAAACTTGAACTAGAAACTGCTAATCTAGTTTGCATGGCCTAACCAATACTTATGTATCTGCATGTCTTTTCACTTTATAGTTTTGCTACTCTAAATCAACCGTCTTTAATCCGAATGACAAAAACTAAAAATGCTCCACTTTTACTCTTAGGTGAAGCTGTAGTAAAAATGTTAACTGATAGCTCTTGTGACTATTTTTGTAGGTTTGTGCAAAAATTTTCCTCAAATTTGAGCAGTTTTTGTTGAATAACTTTGCAAATGTGGCTTATATTTACACCAAATGAAACTCCTAATTGTAGGTTGTAAAGATCTATCAATGTACCAAATTTGAAAAAAATTCCTTAAAGTTAAGTACATTTTTCTGTCAAGTAAAGTTTCCTTACTTTTGGTGTGAAGAAAAAGAAAAGAGGAAGAAACTCAGTCAAAACTGGAGATGTTATATCTCAGGTATTTCTTAATGGATTGCCTTGAATTTTAGTGTGTGAAGTAAAAGTCCAGTAAAACACACATCCAATGAAAATGTGCAATAGTTTGATTACCATGCTCCAAGATACAGAAGATGGAAAATTGTTGAACTATCACTCCTGGTAAAAACTGTTTGCCCTGCAACAGGTTGTTTGGTCGCACTACACACTACTGTGTGTCTCGATACTTCCAGCCCATTTTGTAACTAAAAAAAAAAGAAAAAAGACAGCATCAGGTATATGGCTGCTTTCTACAGTCATGGTATCTCATTGTGTAGTCCCTCAACGTGAGACCTTGAGATGTGACTTTTCCTGTTCTGTATGAGTATCTTTCCATTTCTCTTCCCCATACAAATTTCTCCCTCTCTTTTTCTTCTAATGGAGCATAGGAAGCATCCTTGCTTCCCCAGTCTGCCAAGTCATTGGGGAGGTTGATATGAAGAGTTCTCCTTTAGGACAGTTGTTGCACCCTTCGATGGGCAGTAGAGCTTGGGTGTCCCTGGAAGTGTAGTACAAGCACCCCAGTACATTATGATTCAAGCCATTCCCTGTGTGGGTTTTGTTTTCTATTTGGGATACAGGTGTGGGATTTTCTCTGCATCTGATTACTGTGGTAAGTATGTGACATAATTACTACAGTACATGTTGGACAGACTTATAGCCCTAGCCACACAGTACAATCATACTCAGCTGATCACCTGTGTGATGATATCTTGTTGAGTTCTTATATTCTCCACCTTAGTGACACTTAAACACCAAGCAAAATATATTTTGCTCAACCATCTCTCTTGGGTAAAAATTATTCCCTGTTAGAGATGGATGTGGTCTTCTTCCAAGTAATGCCTCCCCTCCAATGAGTGACATGCTCCATGGGCTTTCTCTTTCTAATGCTCTATTTTCCAGGAAAGAGCTCATTCTGATGCATTTTGTTTGCCTCTTTGAGAATGAACCTTTTTTCAAGTGCTAGTATTCGTGGAGATTACGTGGAGGTTGTTGCCCTCCTATTGGTGAATGGCTATGATGATTACATTACAAGTTGACACAAATTTATGTTACACATGTAGGAGTAGGACATTCATTTAGGCTTGTGGAATGTGCAAAAATCTTCACAGCAGTGCACGAAGTAATAGCTTTCTTTTGCAGAGAGGTGAGTGTCTATCTAAAATACATTTTCAGGTAAGGAAAGTGTTATCTCTGTGAGCATTGATTACATAAATTAGTGTCACTATAAAATAATCAATTAATCAAAATTAGACTTAAATTGATTATCGTCACAAAAATCATACACTAGTCAAAATTGGTTTTTCAGTTATTCTATCCAGATAATCAACATTTTGCCATTATAATCTCGAATTATTAATTTTAGTTAATTCGAGGTGTCACAAAAATAATCAACTAATAAAAGTTAGAATTTCTGATTATTACTCATTTTGATTATTCTAACTCTCCAAAAAATTGAAATATTGCCATTGTAATTTCTCCTTATTCTATTTGATTATTTCAAGGCTGTTCAGCTTAATCACTTAGTGTCACAATTTGTGAAAATAATCAACTAATAGAAATTACTGTTGCTGATTATTACTGTTTTGGATTTTTCCAACTGCCCACCTTTTATGTAAGAATAACCAATTATCAAATTTCATTGATTACTCTGTTGTAATCCAAATTCATGGTGGATAAAGTGCTGAAAAACTGAAATTGGCTGAAAACTGAAAATAAAATAGTAATGTTTAAAATGCTATCATCCCAGCTGCTAAAATTAATCACTTACTATTCATGCAAACTCTGAATTATATTGTAAAACATACCATGTTCAAGATGCTAGTTATTGACAGAATATATCTGATCTATAACTCCAGATTATGACATTATGAACATAGCCTTTAAATTCCAATTTGCTTACATTTTGTGTTTGATATAACATGATCTGGTAAATTTATTAAGGGGATGAAAAGAAACCATGTTGTCAAGATCATAGTTGTGTAAAAGTTTTTTACTTCTGCAGCTATACTCAAATACTTTGATAGCACTGAATAAAATATAGGCTAATCAGAATCACATTGATAGCTAGTCCATTCAGAAGTTGAAACTGCCATATTAGTTTCTTCAGAATGTTATCAAACTGAAAGCCACCTACCAAAAAAGCACATAGGGAAGGGGTTCTTTATCAGGATGCCACTTTCATAACAAAGGAATTGAAAAGAAATAAAAGAATCACAGGTAACTTTTCTACTTAAACAACATCCATAGAATAATAAGAAAACAATAAACTACAATAACTATAATATGAGAAGAAACTGCATCCTGTTTGAGAACTTTGGTGTATAAGGAAACAACTGTCACACCAAAATACCACCAAAAAAAGAAAAAGAAAATAATAACAAAAGAACAAGTTTCATGTACGTTTTATAGCTAAATGATACTAACAAGGTAAACTAAAGTAGAAAGTAACAAAAATCAGTGACAAAAGTTACAGATGGTTTTCTGATATGGAACTATTGCCAAGCATGGGTGCTGAAGGAACTTAAATCTAAATATATTGCTAACTGGCCATGCATTATTCACCCAAAATAAACGAAGACAATTTATTGTGTACTAATAGCAGGACAGCTACAGCAGAAATTAAATTATTTGTATTTTTTCTGCTCATATACTAATTATTTTCTTAGGCTGGTATTCTTTTTTTATACTTATTAGGGTTGGCATGTGAGTAAAATTCAAGGACAGCTACATGCAGCTCATCAGCCTCTAAGAACAGGTATGAATATAAGGTATCAGCTTTTATAGTACTTAGAATTGAATATGTAGTGAAGACTAGTGGAAAGCAACCATGAACAGTTATGAATCTCACTACTCATTATTTGCATGAGATGGACAAGTCTGTGATTGATGACAACTGAGAGAATGCTTTGGATGTGACATTGTTACGTCCACTTCATGAGGGTGGTATTATGGTGTGGGTCTGATTTAACTATCTTGGACATGTCCACAAACAAATTATACGTTTTGAAATTTATGGGAATGGGTCGTGTACTTTTCTCATCACAACAGTGCACTTTTTCATATTACAGACTGTCGAGCAGCAGTTCAAAACAACATTCAGAATCTGGTATGCTCAGTTTCTAGAATTCAAAACTGAATCCATTTGAACAGCTTTGGTACATCTTGGAATACTTATTGAGAAATAAAAAGGACATACTCCAAAATCTCATTATAACTGTAGTTGTTTAGTAAGAGGGGGGGGGTGTATTCTACCATATGCAGAGTTGTAAAAAACAGTTTGCTTTCTATGGCTAAGTTTAAAATTGTTGGTTAACTCAGCAAAAAAAAGGCATATTTTTCACTATGCTTAAATACTCTGTAGTTTGAGTAGAATAAATTTAGATACAATTATACATAAATTAAATATTTACTACAGCTATAAGCATTTATACATTAGGTTGAAACATCACAAGTTCTCATGATTGAACTTGCAAATGGAATTATGTATTTATCATGTCTTAAGCCAAAGACCACACACACAAACACTAATTGTGTAGTATTATATTGTTCAGTAGTTGCAAGTTACTGAATTGCCATAGAACAGGTTAATTCTGTGTATTGAAAATTAGGACAAATTTAAGTCTGTTTATATAGATGCACAACATGTTAGATTATGTTTACTAGCATACTGTCATTAACACTTGAGTTACTCAGATTCATTGGAGGATATAAATTTGTAACATTCTGGACAGTTTGTATAACATGATTGGCTTCACTAAGTTACATGTAGTTAGCTTTTGATTAGTTTATAGTAAAATCACAAGTGGTAATGAATTTAAGCTTATATAATATAGTCTTTTAAAATTTTTGATGATATAAAAAGACAAAACTAACATATTCAAAGAAAGCAAGGTTAGATAATAAGATATACATTATGTAATTAAAATAAATGAGCTATAAAACTTCCTACTTTATACATTACATTTTAGAACTTTGGAAATGGTACATCATCAAATCTAACTGCCCAGTGGTATGGAATTTTTGAAAAAACTTATTGTCTAAGAGATAAATTGCTTGAAAAATCTAATTGCCCTTTTCCATGTCCAACAAAGCACACAGACAAAAGTAGAATATAAGTTTTAGGATTTTGTTTTTGTTAACAGTAAAAACAACAATATATTCATTTGTGTATTTTATGGTTTTAACATAGTCATTAGCATTTTATGGTGCAACATGTAAAAGTAGTAATTGCTAATGTTTCAATTACTTGGATAGTTGGAATAGTCGAAAATAGAAATAATTGGAAATGCTGATTTCAATTATTTTTGAGTTGTGGCCTTATTGATTAAACTGAACAACTTTGAATTAATCAAAAATAATGAGAAATTATAATGGCAATATTTCATTTATCTGGTTAATTGGAATTTTCAAGAACAGAAATATTCAGAAAGACTAATTTTCATTTAGTTGATTATTTTCCTAACATTATATAATCATAATATCAATTAATTGATAATTTTGTGTGTTGTAATTGGTATTCTCGATACTAGTAGGTAATCGATTATATAATTAATTGTCCAGCTTTGTTTATGTAAATGTGGTTCAGAAACTTGTGTGGCTCCCTTGAAATCTGTATGTAATGTTTTTCTAGAAATGAACAAATGATATGAAGGAGAGAAAAAATCTGACCAACTGACAAAATATAATTGTAAAGTGTGTTGTCACTCAGAGAAATTTTGTTATCCCAGGCATTTGGTGCTGAGAATTTCATACTTATGTCATCATATGATATTATGTGTATCATTTATTTAACACTAATTTTTCACTAGAGTACCTTCACTCTGTTTGACCAACTTAAATCTAGGTTAATAGAAACACTTCTGTGTTTTATAACTTCACATTTCATAAACATGATACTATCCTTTACTCATGCTATAATCACCATATATATGGCAGCCACTACATTGTTTGTTTAAGGTTTCCACATTTAAGATATTTATACATTCTTGAAATATATTATTATTTAAATGTTTATTATTTTATCTTCATTTCTATGTTGAACTTGATCAATGGAAAACTTTAAATTTTGTGTGCATTATCCAAATATGATTGGTAATTTGCCAAATGCTGACTGTTTTTCAAACTAGGCAGGAGTGCATCATTTTTTAGCAACAGAGTCCAGTCTCTGGTTAAAACCAGAGGAGGACCCACCTCCCTTTAAAGTTTAGTCTTAGCCATGATATATGACACTCCCCTTTTTAAAGTGTGTTATTCTAATACTCTTAGTAATATAGAGCATGGATGTACATGTATAAGTACATACTATAAATTGCTTTAATGACCCTCTTCTGTTGGGCAGGCTGTTATGGATTATCTGGTAAAAAATAATGTCCATGTAGTAATAACAAATTAGATTATTTCTTTTGTAACATTTCTTCACTTTGACATAAGTTGCAGGCCTAAGTTGACAAATAATGTTTCAATAGAAATTTCTCGCTAATGGTATTGTGCCTAACTTGCAAAAATAAACTTGCTTGTACAGTTCCATGGCTAATAGATTGAGTAACCAAATGTACATGAGAACTCTCAGAATAACTTTTCTAACATTGAACTGACCTCAATAGAGCTTGTTTAGAGGACAAGCTTTGTCAGCAAATGACTTTACAAAACAGTGATAGTAAGAGTGTAGTCCTCTTTAGCCAACTGATCCAGAACTTTCTTTAGTCCATAAGCATTATCAAAGGTCTTTCCATATGTGATTATGTTATCCAAGTAGTTGAATATGACATTCCAGGGAAGTTCAAAGAGAGTGCACTTCGTTAGTCTTGAAATGTAGCAGGTTCATTACATAATTCAATTAGTAACACAACAAATTTTTACATTTCTTGCAGTAAAGATTCTTTTTGTTCTACTTGCTTCAATGACTTGCAATTGCTAATATCTAATCTTCAGATCCAATGTTGAAAACCATTTTGATCCAAATATCTAAAATTGAATCAATCTTTGGCAGTGGGTAGACATCCTTCTTTGTGACTTCTTTCACCTTCTGGTAGTCTATGCAGTACTTTGTGTATCTATACTTTTTCAAAAGTACAGTAGCTGATGCCCATAGACTAGTATTCAGTTCTATCACTCCTTGTTCCTTCATGGCTTCTATTTCTTTGAAAGCCTTAGCCTGTTTTACAAGTGGCATTCATTTGGCTAGTTGACATATTAGGTTGCATCTCCAGTATCAGTCTTATGGGATTATTACTTGTTTGATCTAAGTCACGAGGTCCATTGGAGAAAGTATTTTGATATTCCATGAGAAAGTCATGTAACCTCTGGCATTGATTAGCTGTAAGACCTCTACAGCTCTAGTTATACAGTTCTTGTGAGTGAGGTGATAAGTTGTATTTCTATGAGGATTTGATACCAGATTTCTCATGTCTTGTCTCAAAGGTGACTACTTTTGTATTACCTGTACAGCCTTGCATGTGGTGATGCCCATCCAGATTTTAATTCTTTGGTTCATTGTTTTCTTTATGGTACTTAAGATGACATTTTTATTTTCAGATCCATGTAAGTTTTTTAACCATTAATCTTTCAGGACATGCTGAAGGATTTGGTTCTATTACAGCCCAGTCACTAGATGTAAATTTGTTTGTATAAGTTCTGGTATGAGTTTCACTTCTTGGTAGTATGATGATTGCTTTCTTTGTCATCTCTGGAAGTTCAACCTCTGGTGTAGTAATTTTCATGTAGTGCATGGGCATTTTCTGGTTATAGTCTGTCAAGTTAGCCCAACATTGCATCCATGTCTCATCATATAGTCAATTCACAATATGCATTCTTCCTTGATGTCTGTTATCCACATAGCATAAAGTCTAGAGAAGCTTCCTACAGTAAGGGTAAACTTTCCATTTTCTTTTTTCTGGATCTTTTTGTCTACCTTGCTGTTTGTTTCAGTCCATCTTCTTTCATCATTGTTGGAGGCAGTTCCCCACCTTCAATATCAAATTGGGTCTAACTATTATAATGTAGAATTCATGTCAGTGACCATATTGCATGGCTTCCTATCAATAAACTCATTGATGTGTGGACTGTTTTCTTTAAATAATGAAATTATTATTTCATATAGGACAGATGAGGCATTCTCAGTAGAATTTCATCCATCAAGTATAGTTAATTCCTGTTTTCTAATGTCTAGTTGCCCTTTGCTGTTCCTTTGACTGGTTGGGCTCAAAGACCCATCCTTATTGTCTGCTTGGCATATGAACAGTTTTTGGTTCCTCACAATCTTGGCTATAAGGACTAGGACATCTGTAAGAGTTCTCTTCTTATGGTATCTTTTGAGAGATGTTATTCTATACAGACTTTTGCTTGCAGTTCCTGGCAATATGTTCTTTCAAATTACACTTGAAACATCTGTTATCTTGTGCTTTATTTCCTCCACCATATTTAACTGTTCGTCTAACTAATCCTTTTAGTTCTTCTAGATAATCATCAGAGGAAGTCAGTACTACTCAATCTGATGATCTTTTAACTTCTAAGTGGTGCCTTTAGTTGTTTATCTGCAACTTCAACCCTTTTTTAACCTTTAGTTTTTACGGTAGTCATTGAGAATTCTATCAGCATATGAGATACAGTAGTCGGTGAGAATGCTATCACTGTGTAATATGCGGGTTTATTTTTCCCTCCGTTCTTTGAATTCATATTGATGCTCTGGCCTGGTAACTAATTTACTTATGTCACCAACAGCAATAATTCAACCATAAAAACAAAGACATATAGCTA